GCAGATGGTGTGGACATGTTTATGGCTGGTGATACAGAAAGGTGAGGCCAAGTGCAGAGGAGCCCATCGTACCACAGACTTGACTCACAGCAGATATTAAATACATTTTTGTATTTTTATTTTTAAAATTTTTAGTTAAATGCTTTGCTAATTTGACAGGTGAAAATGGCATTCCACTGTTCCAGTGTGCACTTTTTTGTTTATTGAGTGCAATGATCTTTTCTGTTGTATAGTAATTAGTAGCTGATATAATATTTCGTTTCTGTGGATCAGCTATACACGTCCTGGGCCCAGTCCATTTTTATGAACTCTCTATAGTAAGCGCAATGTCCCCATGGCTTGGCTTTCTACTTTTGCATGTGATTTTTTAGGACATGGGGACATTTTAATGTTAGGCAGTCAAACCACGATCATCCAGACCTTTCCACTGCTGTTTGGCCCACAAAATCTCTCTCATAGGAGGCTCACTAGTGTACTTGGCCAGCATTTCCAGCTCCCTTCCTTTTGGACAGAGGACAGCTCTTTGTGACCCTTGTAATTTTGTGAAACTATGTAACAAGTTCTGCCAAAGACCTTGAGCAGAAGTGACTGCACATCTGGCCTGGAGCCTTTAATTGCTGATGTGAGATCTTCCAGATGTTGCTCTGTCCAATCTGGTAGGCACAAGTCACATGTAACTATTCACTTATTGTTTAGGAGTGGAGAGGTTTGATCCAGATGGCCACTCCTGCAAAGACATCCCTTGTTTTGGCTAAGACAGGTGTCCTCAAGCTACGGCCCGTGGGCCACATGCAGCCTGCCTAGGACATTTATCTGGCCTACTGGGTGTTTTTGCCGCCGCTGCCTGTCCTGCTTAGCAGCCAACTTGTCCCGGGGCCCGCAGTCCAGCCCTCCACCAGTCTGAGGGACAGTGAACTTGCCCCGTTTAAAAAGTTTGAGGACCTCTGGGCTAAGATATAGTAGGTTACAGGCAAAAGACAGCTCTTTGGTGTTTTGGTTTTCGATTCTGCCACTGGGTGCCCAGTGAAATTGTCTAAGAAGCTTTAAACACCCCACCACCCCACCCCTCTGTACCCTCATAACCCATCCCTGCTGAGTCACCCTCTGGGGTTTGGGATGGGACCAGGGTATTAGCAAGCTTCCTCGTGAGGCACCTCTGCCTTCCCAGCTTGCTCAGAAACAGACTAGCACAGGCCTCAGACATGGAGCTCTCTGCTGTATGGGTTTTTTAGTCCTTTATTCAATGTCAGACACTTACGGCATTTCTGAGGACAGCTCTGTCCCGACCACAGTGTCTAGGCTGGATTCCTCCTCCATCAAGAGTGGAAAGGTAGCCCACATAACGAGGTAAAAGAAAAAAAAACCTGAGGCAGCTGTGCCAGGGGAGGTGGTTTACACTGTTTACAAAGTTTCAGGAAGATTCTGTAGAGTTGCAAAGTAGTTGGTCTTGGTGTTCTGCCACCTCTGACTGACTGCTCCTTTTAAGGCCCCCTATCCCAGAGAATGAAGGCACCCCTGAGTTTAGCAAGCCCTAAAAAAGCATTTCAAGAAAATTATTTTACTTTTAAAGAGTTTCTGGAAATAGATATTTCCCATGGGGTTGAGGGAAGGAGATCCAAAAAACATCCTTAAAAGAAAGAAAATGGCCTTAGTGTTTCAAAAGGGAGAAGTGGAGGGAAGTGAGACAACAGAGTTGATGCATGTGAAGAAATTAAATAACTCCTCACATCTTAGAGCAGATTGAATTTACATTTTACTTAAAAAAGGGGGGAGGGGAGTACATACACAAGGAGAAAAATGGGGTGGGGAACAACAACGATCTGAAAACATATTTCTACAATTTTCCCCTACAAGGATCAATTTTGTCTGTTGGGCAGTTTATTTCTCCTGCTGGCGTACAATTGCTTACAATATTAACAAGGTTGTAGACAAGGGAACTGCCAAAGTTTAGGCCCAGATGGAAAGGAGAGTAAGTTTACAATACACAGCATGTTCTGTAGGTGATGTAATGCAGTTGCAGGAAGAAGTTAACAATACTAACACGAGAATAATCAAATTTCTGTTTGTTATCCATGTACAGCAACTAACTGCTTTACAAAAAAAGCAAAATAATACAATATATCATCACATGTATTTACAGTGTAGTAAATATACTTTTCTGTCAAATTTTACACAAACTATTTACAGGTGAATATACTGCATTAAAAAAAACTGTGTGGCTGACACTAAGAGTGAATTTCTGTATAAGTCCATTGCATAACATTGAATAAGACATGCCTCATTATGTAGGAGGGGGTGAAGGAAGGGAGATGTATGTAGAAACAAAACCAAACAAAAACAAAAACAAAACCCCCAAACATAAACTCCAAATGAAACTGAAAACCCACAAACCCGGAGGGCTGCCCGCAAGTGCTGTCTGGCCCCCCGAGTTCGCCCATATGAGGGGGCGGGAGCCGACTGTTGACTCTGGTGTCCTCAGCCCCAGGCTCAGTAGCGAGCAGGTGCAGAGTGAAGGGGAGACAGAGCTCCAGCAACTTTCCCTCGGAGCTAGTGAACTGCATCTTGCTCTTCGCAAACAAGGGTGTGCCCTAGGATAGGAGGACCACTGGTGGTAACAGGTAGATTATACAAGACAAAAACATGACTGAGTTACCGTTTTCCTCTTTAAAAAGTCTGGGGAAACACCCATAAGCCCAAAACTAATTATTTTACAGGGCTTAACACCAAATTATACAAAATGGGAAACTTGCTCTGAATTTCATAATTTCTTTTGTAGATTATATAGGTATAAAAACTAAAACAAGGTTTTATTTCTCAGGGGACACTTAATGGTAAGAGATTTATCTCATCTCAATTTTAGTTACTTGGAAAGCTAGATTTTCCTCAAAAGTCAGAAGTTCTTTAAATAAGGTAAAATTTAAACCTTAGTACATTTTCAAATTCCTAGGATATACTAGTCAAAATTATTTTTGTGGTTCAAAGAAGGCTCAATTTGATTTGTACAATGCTGGTCATTTGATAAAGTATGAAACACCATACCTGGGTAAACTTTTTAATGGTAAGATCAGTATTTTTTAACAGTAAACCTTTGGAAGTTTCTGTTTTGATGAGAGAAGCAAAATAGCATAACCCCCACCATCATATGCACCAAGCCAACAAACGCGAAGAGGACAAACTTGGAACCAAAGTTATTAAAGGCTCTTCTCGCCACCTACTCCGGGAGCTGAGGAGCCGGGACACCTACTTCAGAGGCACAGGGCTGTGAGAGAGCCAAGATACTGACATTCTTGACACTCGGTGACTGATCTGTTTCTAAACTCAGTTCTAATCTTTCTTTACCTTCTTAACTGCTCTGGTACCATAAACACTTTCTTCTAACGCAGCCTGTACAATAGTTTTAAAAAAAGTTTAATTGTACCTGCCCTCAGTATTTTCCAACAATTGTATGCTTAAATCACTATTAACACTAAGGTGTTTTTTTTTTTTTTTTAATTTTGGCAAATTATTTTCACTTTTCCCAGGATTGTAAGCAAATTAAAAAATTAAATTCCTGTTATTTCTGAATATCAAAAGAAATTTTATTTACATTAACATATTACATTGTTACTGTGTGGATAAATGTGAAATGTGTTATATTATTAAAATCAGAACACTTAAATGTACCATTATTTGAGTTAGCTGTGGAGTTTACTAAAATCCACTAGTGAAATAGCACTATAGGAAATTCCCCTCTCCCCTAGGTATTTTTCCCCCCTCCCAAAGCCATTATATCTTAACATATAGAGGGAACCTGGAAGTAGGGGGATATCTTTTTGTAATAAATATGGTTTCATTCTAAATTGGAATAACCAGATACTAAAGTCAAATTAGTTTGCGCCCTGCAGGTACCACAAAGAAACTGGATCTGCATTACCACGGAAAGGCCAACACCAATGTAATCCATACTATTCAGCATAGCAGCAACTCTCAGGTCCCTACTGTCACATAATGCAGGCTGACCAGTCTTTTCACAGTGATTAAATTAATTCTATCATATATAGAACCTAAATGTTTTGCTAAAGAGATTCCTGACTTTTTGGAGGGGATGGGGAAGATTAAAGACATTTCATATATATTTTATCAAAGAAATTTATGATAATATACACCATATTCTATGTTTCATGGAAAATTACTTAACAAAAAGTATCAGCTACTTTAAAAGTCACGTACCATTCCATATTTCTATGGAGCTAATGTAAACATCTATGAAAATGACTTTCTGGGAACAATTTTCAACACTTTGTTCATTGATTACCCTGCTCAGAATTATTTAGAAAAGGGGGGGGAAATGTATAACTACTATACTTAGTATAGTTTTGGCTGAAAAAAATGAAAAAACTTTTAGCATAAAGATTAATCAACTGGAAAAAAAATATAAACTAGTTTGGATGACTGAGTTTGGATAAGGCCTCAGAATCCATAGTTTTAATTCAGTAATGGTTAAGATATATGTGGTCACACTTATTTTCCTGTCGTTATTGCTAATACTCAAGTGTTAATATTTCTTAAGAATACACTACAAAATACTAAGTCCCCCACCCCCCAATGTACCTTGCCTGTGGCTTTATGTTGTCAAGTCACTGAGCTTGACCTCTATGGATCTTTCAGATTTATAAAGTTAAAAAAAGTCCACAGCTAAACGTCAGATTAAGCATACTGGAGTTATAATATTTCTCCCATAAACTTCTAGCTTGGAAAGTGTGTAAATAAGACTCTCTATATGATGAAGAGGGGAAACCAGAGAAGGCAGAGCTCTATGCAAATGGCTTTCATAGACGGGTAGCAGTAGTAGTATCCAAGAATTCATCCTCTCACAACTGGGATATTCTCAGTTCAAGTTTCCTGACCTCCCACTTTCTTTGCAGTTGTTCTGCACATTTGCATACATCACATACACGCCAAAAGTAGAAGAAAAAAAAGTTAAAGGAAAGAAAGCAGCATTAAATTTAGGCAATGCTTCGAGAGTTGATCTTCTGGCAACACGGCAGACCGGATGGGTTCGTTATAAAATGGGAAGTGCAGCATCACGACATGAAGGGACGGGCAAGGCCAGAGAAGGAGTCACTAGTGAAGAGCCCATGTTAAGTTGGTTTAAAAAAAGAAACGAAGAAAGCGTCACACGATCTTCTTAATGCTATTACGTTTGAAACTGCCAGCGCTTCTTTGCTTCTGCACTTGGCTTGCGGATCCGTGGCGAGTTCGTCCACTGTTACAGTGGCCAGTGGTAGGGGAGAGTTCAACGTTCTCTTTGTCAATTCCTAGAGAGAAACACAAGAGCCAATTACTCCCTCTCTTCTGGTGTTAAGAGAGGTTTAATGAGACTGAATCTTATTAAAGTCATGTGTCGCTTAACAACAGGGACACAATTTGAGAAATGACTGTCATTAGGTGATTTTGTCACCTAATTGTGTGAACACTGTCCAGTGTACTTACAGAGACCTAGGTAGTCTAGTTTACCACCTTCTTAGGGTAGATGGTATAGCCACTGTTCCTAGGCTAAAAGCTGTCCAGCATGTTACTGTGTTGAGTTGGCAGGCGGCTGTAACACAGTGGTAAGTATTTGTGAATCTAAACACAGAAAAAGTACAATAAAAATACAGCATTATGGGTGGTGCCTATGGCTCAAGGAGTAGGGCACTGGCCCCATATACCAGTGGTGGCGGGTTCAAACCCGACTCTGGCCAAAAACTGCAAAAAAAAAAAAAAAATACAGCATTATAATCTTATGGGACCACTGTCTATTCCTGGTCTGCTGCTGACTACGTTGTTATGCTGCACATGACTGTATCTGAATATGAGATACAACCTGGTAAATTGTTTTTGTAAGTTTTAAGTCAGCTGCTAGAATGTTTACAAAGACCTTCTCAGATAGAAAACCTCACAAATTTGCTATCATAGCAGAAAACAGCATAAGAAAAAGAAAAGGGAAGTTGCAAGGAAAAGCTAGACACAGGCTGGCTTGAACTGAATGAAAAGCTAGCAGGCACCAGGGAAGACCAGAGCGCTTTCCTTCAGATCCTATCAGGAACTTCCAGCAGAGGTCAGCTTCTATCCATGTATCCTTATTTATGTTCATAAACAGAACATACTCTTCAGAACTGGAAAATAGTGATCTTTATAGTAAACTTGTCACTTCATTTTTAAAGTTTTTTTATTAAATCATAGCTGTGTACATTAATACTATCATAGGGTAAACCATAGGCGCAATCCCACCAATCACCCTCCCTCCACCCACCCTCCCCTCCTTTCCCTCTCCCATTTCTCCGTATTCTTGGGCTAAAACTGGGTTATAGCTTTCCTATGAAAGCTATAAATTTCTTTCATGGTAGGGCTGAGTACACTGGATACTTTTTCTTCCATTCTTGAGATACTTTGCTAAGAAGAATATTTTCCAGCTCCATCCATGTAAACATGAAGGAGGTAAACTTGTCACCTCAAAGAAAAATCAGATGCTTTTTATTTTTTAATCACAGTGTCTGTCCCAAAGGGACTTAATTACTACTACTTCTTCTTCTTCTTTTTTTTTTTTTGTAGAGACAGTTTTACTTTATTGCCCTCGGTAGAGTGCCGTGGC